TGTGCAGTTTTTCAGTGATGCCAAAGAGTCCATGGATTACCTAAAAAATTTGCAGGATTCGATTCAAAGAAAGTACAGCTGTGATCGAACAAGTAGCCTACACAGACTGGAGGATCTCATTCAGGAGTCCATGGTAAAATGACAGAAAGATATGAAGTGTGTGTGCATTTGAAGGCGAAATGAAGAAAACAACTTTTTTTGTGGGTTTCTGTGTCCTTAGGACGAGAAAGAGCAGCTCCTTCAGTACCGCAGCACTGTGGCTGGGCTGGTGGGCAGGGCTAAAAATATTGTGCAGCTCAAGCCCAGAAACCCTGAAAATCCGCTAAGATCCTCCATTCCTGTTAAAGCGATCTGCGATTATCGCCAGATAGAGGTACTATTATTGGTGCCTTGAATCACCACATTTAATCTCGGTTTATATAAAACATTTATAGTAAATCAGTTACGGTTTGTCAACTCTTTCAGATTACCATTTATAAAGAGGACGAGTGCGTACTGGCCAGTAACTCTCACCGGGCTAAGTGGAAAGTCATCAACCCAGCAGGTAATGAGGCGATGGTTCCCTCTGTTTGCTTCACTGTCCCTCCACCCAACAAAGAGGCCGTTGATATGGCTTCAAGGTGAGTTGGTAGGATGCTAAGTTTCCTACAGTTCCCCTATAGTAATCTTTTTCACAAATTTCACTGGCGCAGCAAATAATATTAATAATATAACCTTTGCTTCTGCAGAACTGAGCAGTTATATCAGAACGTCCTGGCACTGTGGCACCACTCCCACGTCAACATGAAGAGTGTGGTGTCTTGGCATTATCTAATGGCTGACATTCAAGCCATCCGCAACTGGAATGTGGCTTCAGTATGTTGGAGTTTGTTTTTTCAGACTGCAGTCAGTCGAGCTTTTCTTTTGACGATCATTTGTGATAATCCCGCTTCAGTTTGATAACGATCATTCTAAGGAAAATGCCAGTTTGTGTTATTTACACTTGTTTTTGTTTGTTTGACTGTTTTGCTCTCATCACTCCAGATAAAGACCATGTTGCCAGGTGAGCATCAGCAGGTCTTGAGCAACCTGCAGTCCCACTTTGATGAGTTCCTGGAAGACAGCGAGGAGTCAGAGGTATTCACTGTGGCGGACTGCGCGCAACTCGAGAGAGACGTGGCAGCGTGTAAGGAGTACTATCAGGAACTGCTCAGATCCGCAGAGAGAGGCAAGGCTCAAATCTCCCTTCCCCTTCTGCGTAACAACGAGCAGCTTGTGTACATTGTACAAAACACAGCAAAGGGAAACACATGGCTGTTAAGCCTTTTAAGCCTTAAGTTAATACCTATTGGAATTACTCTGATTTTGCTGTGAATGTAAATACTGCACTGGTATGCCGTTAAAGTGTTATGTGTAGTCATGAATTTTAATTTTGGGAAAATTTGAAGAATATTTGTTCAGCTGTGTTGATACATCTGCACGTGGGCAGTATTCACATATACAGTATAAAATATTTGCATTTCCTTTTAAAAG